AAAAAAAAAAAAAAAAAAAAAAAAAAGACTGCCCCTTTCTATTGGTGGGGATCTGCACCTGTTGGAAACTGGGTCCAGTGTCTCTGAACCATCATACCCTTCGTGCTTTCTTTTTCTGCCTTCGCACTGCCGTCAGCAAGGCAGTTCTTTGTGACAATGGTAAAAGGAGAGAAGCTAGGATCGTTGCTATTATTAACCCCCTGGGTGATCGACCCTCTTGCAATGGCAAAGCTCAGATGTGAGCCATGTGACCGACCATTTGGGCTCACGTAACTTAACTTTCAAAAACTGACAAAAAGTGAATTTATAATTTAACATTTTAAATGATTTTTGGGATTTTGTCCGTCATTTTTAAATTACATTTTCAGTGTTCAAGGGTACTAAGGTTTACGCTTAGCACCACCCTAATCTCACCCTTTTTGGCTTATTTATCAAAGGCGACGGCCTTGAGATATCATCTGAAAACTGACCAGCCCCATGTAAATTCAGAGTTTAATTTACTCATCTGCTTCTATCCAGACTTGAACTCAGGTACGTCGCTCAACAATTCATGTGTGCCCAATCTCACCCTAATTTTGGGGAGGTCATGTTTTCGCATCGCAAGGCTTCCGGGTCTTCAAGGCAGGGCAAAGCGACTGGCAGCGCAGCTCCCCAAGGATGCATCGTCGTAATTATTCCAGTTGCTTGAAAGGATAAAAACTCCAACTTTGTCTATAACAGATTCATTTCGTTGGCCTCCACCTACTACTTGATAGAAACACAGAACCAACTCTTGGTAATTACTTTACTGCCACAACCAACTCTTGCTAAGTACTTCACTGCCTGAGGCCCTGAGGGCTCAAAACTCGTATCTTTTCTGTAACAGATTCAGCTGGTTAACCTCAGACTACTTGGTCTCCACTTTAGGATAGAAACTGACTTACTCCCCGATCCAGTGAAAAAAAACACTACATGGAAACTTACTTTCTACTGCTGTCTCCCGAGAGTGCGTGTGAAGGGTGAGCGTAGCAACTTCTCACTGCATGTTGACGGTAGACACTAGGAGGAGGTTGAAGTTAGGGCCTAGAATGTACAAAATTTAGATAGAAACAAGCCTTCCGATTGACAGAAAGTAAATTTCTGATCACACCATTGGACAGATTTCTCACAAGGTTCAGGAGCAACAATTGGTTGCAGAGGACAGAGTCGGAGGGTAAAAGAGTGCACCGGCTTGAAGGGCATAGATCTGTGCACAGAGATATTGCTCGCAAAAGGGGTCTTTCAAATGTTAGTATTATGTTACCCATTCCAAGAACTGAAAGATGCAGACTGAGTGAAGAGTTGACAACAGGTGAAACTTACATCGCCGTCCGCGCCGCCAAAAGATGGACAACGGTATCCCAAGCGCAACAGCCACCACCGCCTCAGAAAGCACACAGGTGCCTGGGATTCGGATGGTGCAGGTGAAAAATTCGAAAGCACTGGGTTCACCCAGGCGTCGGCGTGCTTTTGCGATCAAGACAGCGGCACAATCGTAAACAACCTGCCAGCACAAGAAGACCTGGTTTGACCCTCCCATCTTGGCCAGATCACAGCTTCCTTTCCCTTTCAGGTTGGTCGAAAAGGCACACCCAACATGGCTTTTTCCCATGGCTCACAATGCCTCTCTCCTCCCCACGATATCTGTGGATGGTACGTCAGCTTGCGGGGCCGGACGGTACGTCAACTTGCGGGCCCACCACAGCAGATGGTGTCTTCGGAGACCTAATCAGAGAAGGATAGAGGCTTCAGGATCCTAAAAGAGTCCATTCGTCCTTGACGCAGTTTCGACAGCTGTCACTCGTCATCTGCTTGCTTCTCACGATCCTTGAAACATGCCGAACGCCACTGGTTTCAGCTAACCACTGGGGAGATCGTGGGAACTGGGGAAATAACTCCATGGTGGTACCAAGGAGAATTCAGAGATCCTGTAGCAAGAATTGTCCTGCGCGGACCCTTAAGGGGATCATCGATCCTGCAGTAAGAATTGTCCTGCGCGGACCCTTAAGGGGATCATCCTAAAACCTCTGTTCCAACATTGAGTGGGATCCCACCAAAACATAAGCGCACCAATCCCCATCTACAACATCTCCATCCGTACAGTACTTCCTTCACATCAAAAAACTTCAACTCGAGTATAGTCCTTCACAAAACTGGCAGAGAGAAGACATCCACAACACCCAGCCACATCCATTCGCCCATTTTTTCGAGCGTGGGGCCATCAATCAATCTCCTTATTACTGCAAATTCAGTGTGATATTGAGCAGACTTGGCACTAAGGAGCCATCCGGCATTCGCTGGCAAATTCCTTCACTTCCCCGAGCGGTGAAAAATCATCGTTGATGATGGTCGAGGCCTCATTGGAACTGGGTCTACCAGGATCATCATCAGAAGGAAGGGGAAGAATGGGTCCAAAGGGAGAACGGGACAAAGGCCAGCAGCTTGCAGTCGTACACTTTGGTTCTTCAGTCAAAATGAACGGGCGGTGAGGTGTGACGCTGAACAAGGTTGAAAGACAGGAGCCAACCACTCTCAATCCAGTGCTGTCACATGATCGTTGATGCTCAGGGCCAACGCCTCTGCTGCAACTGCGGCTGCGGCCTTTCCACCAGTGGACACGTAAATGTCAAAGAGCTCCTTCCTCTCCGGGAATGCTATTCGAGATTCCAGCCCCCTAGCCACAAGCTCCAGCTCCGGCTGCAAGGGCACATGACAGTTCAAAAAGCCCACACATGCGAACCCAGACAGTTCAAAAAGTAAAAAAAAACAGAGTCTACAATCCTAATCCAACCCATGCGAACCCAACCCAAATCAAGCCAACCGCGGATGTTGTTTGTCGCTTCCCATTTCCAGGGGTGCTCATCAGAACATCTTTTCTAAAATAAGCTGCATGTATGATCTAAAGCTAAGCTCAGCGCAAATGCACCTAGCAACAGACAGCTGCCAAGCAGCCATTTATTGACAAAAGAGTTGAAAAGACCCACTTGGCCTCCACCCAAGGCTGAGCAACAGGCAAATGACAAGAATTCATTTACTGACAAAAACCACACTTGACCCCCGCCCGAGGCTGAATTCCTTTCCAACCCCTCCCCCCTGTTACATGCCCAGTTGGGCGATGTACGTATATAACCAAGGATCCGCAATGCGATGAAAAGGACTGAATGGACAATGCAGTGCTAGTGAAATCTCAACAAGCAATGTACATCCTGATACATACAACAATGGTGCTTTATAGCACAGTGGAAGACTTAGATACAAGTCCTGACCTGACCGGGACTGACCTCCCTCACGTAGTACAAGACAGCACAGCAGAATGCTAGAATACCAATGATGAGCCCAATCAATGTTGCAATGCAGACTACACATACATCATCTTCATCACAAGGTGTGAAGGAGGCCTGGCGCTACACACAGGAAGAATGCGCCAGGTCCAGATCATGCACAGACGAAGAAGAGGAGGGGGGAGATGGGAAAGTCGTCAACACCAAGTCTTTGTTACAAGTCCCAAATAATCCCTCGTCAAAATGTCTGAAGCCCAACGTCGAGTCTGGATCCAACTGTCACCAAGCTCTCATTCTCTCCCGTAGTCTGCTGATGCAGAAGTCAGATAGCGAGAGGGTGAGAGGGAGATGGTGGACTGAGAACAGGAAGAAGAAGAACTCTCTCTCTCTCTCTCTCTCTCTCTCTCTC